CGCCATCGTCCGGTGGGAGCAGGTGTCATTCCCTTTCGCCCCCTCCCGTTGGGGGGACACCAATCAAGCGGACAAATCCTCAAACACTCCGCTTCCACCCCCACCCTCTACAAACACTGTCGCAGCTCCGCGCCCGGCAGCGGCGGCTCTGGGCTGCCCCTTAGGACCGGCGCCGGGCGGAGGGGAGAGGAAGGAAGCACAGAGGGCATTCTGTGAGCACGCAGTCCTGGCTGTGCCGGGGGAGCAGCACACAGCCGGGCTGCCTGGGCTGGGGGCGCCGAGCGGGTGTCGCTGGAGGTGCCGATCGCCACCTGCAGGCGGGAGGTGGCCGCCCGAGGGCGCGGCGCACGGGCACCGCTGGCACGGGACCGGCCTCACCGTGCGGGTCGGCCCTCTCCCCACCAGCCCATCTCCCTGGCAGGCCCTGTCCCCGGGCAGAGAGCTGCCGGGGTGCCCGGGGAGCGGCACCGCCAGGCGGGGGCGGGGAAGCGGGAGCGCGGGGCAGCGCTGCTGTGTGTCTCGGGGGGAACCCCTGTGCAGCCCGACAGGGTTCCCGCTCAGCCCGACAGGGCTCCCGCTCAGCCGCGGGTGAGTGCTGTAGCGATGAAAGCCCAGCTGGTGATGATTCATGCCCTTGGCCCAGCGCCCTGCAGTCGGGGGCTGCGTGCCGGTGTGCGGCTGCTCGCCCACCCGGTTCCCCGAAGAATGGCAAAACTGCTTCCCRGCCCTCCCGAGGAGCGAATTACGGTACAGCCCTCTCTTGAAATTACTGTCCTCTCAGGACAGTAACAGCAGCGACAGCAACGAAAAGAAGGGGTAAAAAAGACTTTAAAACCCCCAAAACAAAACAAAAACCGTTGTAGGTTGTCTTTCATTCCAGTAGGAGGGGAGAAGGCTGYGTCTAAAAGTGAAATGAGGAAAGTACCACTGAGAACAATCTTAAATAAAAAAAAAATAATATCAGATTGGTACATCATAAGCAAATTGGTTATTATCCAGTGTATAGAAYTAATAATCACAAACCTGGGAAAAATCTGTCGTCATTAAAGAAAAAAGAAAAAAAAATAGTGGTTTTGTTTACAGGTTTAAGTGTATCTGTCCTTGAAAGGCAAACGAAAGTTCTCCAACACAACTTGTGTGATAGGTTTTCCACTATCTTGCAGCTCTGTAGTTTTGATTATGTGAGGTCTTTAATTACAGTCCCTGCCCTGTAATTCTGTCATGTAAATTCAGTAAACGCAGAAAGCCAAATAAGTAATTCCTTAACAGGAAGATTTGCTGATTCTAACGTAATTGAACTTGAGATGAGGTTCACAGTCTGCTTTGCCCACCCTTCGGTTTCCTTCATTTTCTCTCAGTCAACACCTGAGAGAGTTTCAAAACGTTTGGACAGATTCCAGCCACATCCTCTTCACGAGGGGTGCAGACTGCATTTCTCCCCCCTAGGCTGGTGATCTCCTACATAAATGATCAAGGCATAGAGCTTACCTGGATTAGTAGATCAGAGCTGCACCTCTGCATGCCTGTTACCTCAGCCGATCACACTAACATTTACAAGATATTTGTCCKACTGAATGAAGACTTAATGCTGTTGAGACACAGATGAAATGTAATCGATATTTAAGTATGCATTACGGCTTCATTATCAACACCTATTTTCTTTTTAATACCTCCTCAAATGCACCATTCTGTTGGCTTCTAAGCAGCTACCTCCTTAAAGACTGTTTTCCTTCAGTGAAATAAAAGTTTGTGCTTTTTACTGTTTAGCGCTAGCCTGACTTAAAAAAAAAAAAAAAAAAAAAAAAAGCAAAAAAATAAAAGCGAAACTCTGAGAAGCAGGGAAATCTCAGATTTCCCAGCTTTCTTGCATGGTAGTAGGCAAGTCATTAGCCTAACTAGATTATCCTGAAATTAGCGTTTCAAAGCCACAGGGGATACAGGCTGCTGGGGAAATTGTTTCCAGAGATGTTTTGCACTAGCGCGGCCAATTGAAGTCAGACCCAGATACTTTTTGCTGAGAAATCCAATAAGAAAACGTCAAAAGAAAACAGGGTCCTTTTTCAACTAAAATATTTTAAATCGACTTTAGTTTTTGATATTTTTTTTTTCTTCTGTTTGAAAGTAACTTTTCTCTGAATTAAATTGAGAAGTAATTTAGGCGACTGTGGAAGAAGGGGAGGGAGTAGGTGGTGGAAGATGTAGACGAAGGGAAAATTCACTCTTTTGACGTGATAGTGTCTTTARTTCTACTAAGCATTTAAACGGCAAAATTCCACTTAAACTTTTAAGCAACTAAATGATTTCCTAATGTCCTTAGATAACATAGGTGAAGCACTTAGGAGTATCCTCAAGGAAAAAYATATTTTCATACAATCCAACCTGACTTGAGAGTAAATGAAAACATCACACAGCCTTAAAAAGTCAAATTAAAACATTAATGTTATTCAGTTAAGACACAGCTTCACCAAATAAGGGGCTCCTCAGTAACTACAAAAAGAAAAAGCATTAACAATGGTGCCAGAAGATCCTYTTCTGAGCAATTTCATTCTATACTTCTCAAAAAAAGGAAAGGAWAGACTAGACATTCTTGATGCTTTCAGATTATAACTGTATTATCTATTAGTCAAAGTAAAACTGAAATGCCATAATTGGATCACAGCATTTTGTTCATGTGGTTGCATATTGTACTTAGGATTGAAAACRATTTGAATCTTGGGCTTTTTTTACTTTTCACCATGATAAGATACAGAATTTGTGCTATTCAATAAATTGTATTTGAGTAATGGTTTCAAAATGAAAGGGTTAAGGAACTAGGGAGCGAAGGAAATTTCTTATTTCAGTTGATTAAACCKGATAGAGTATGTACAGTGTTCTGTGAGAGAAGTTCCAAGAAGGTGAAAGGAAAGATGTGAAAAGAGGCAACCTACCAAACAGTGCTTTCTTGAATTTTCTCCTTTCGCACCTTGGAAGTATAGTCAAAAGAAATTAGCACTACTCCACATGACACAAAACCTTCTGAGAAACAACTATAACTTTAAAATACAGAGAAGCAAACAAGAACTTAATTCTGAAGTGCCTGTCTCATTGAAACACATACTCTTCACGCAAGCACATGCATTTAACTATACGATTCACTTAAGGACACCTGCTCCCACCTTTCATAAAGCAYAAAATATTTCATAGTACTTAAAAAAAATTAGGCTTTATCCTGTAAAAGACTGAAAGATATTAGAAGGCAATGGAAAAGCTAAAGGCCAAAGGTAGTGTTGTAGCTGCATAGCTCTCGGCCAAACTGTTCTGGATCAAAATGAGTCCAGATCTGGTAAACTGTTCGGTCCTGACTTGGTGGGCAAGGTGAATCAGCCAGGAAACTAAATGACATTCAGTACCAGTAGCAGAACTGTTCCCTGTGTTCCATCTCAGGGTATAGCCAGTTTGTGAAATCCTGGATACTCRTACTTCTGAGGAGGCAAAAAAATGAACAAATCCTGTAATAAGTCTGATCAGAATAAATACACTACAAGTGTATTTGTAACACTGCTACACAGTGACACCACAAGAAAGCATAAATTTCAATTCCTGAATCACCTTTGTACCATTTTAGTATTTTTTCCTCTTTTAGAACAMGGAAGTAGGCTAGGTAGTTCACCATATACTCTTGTCCAGCCAGTCAACAGCTGTGGCCCACTAGGAGCTGTGCAGTAGAGATTCCTGTAATCCTGTAAGAATTACTTGGGATCTAACAAAGGCAACAGCATGAGCACATCACTCAGCTACAGGGATGAGTTAAATGCTGAAAAGCACTGAGATATCTCTCAAGCTGCTCCTTAGCACTCCCTGTTCTACAAACACAGAACAATGGCACTGAAGGCCAGGCCTGGAAACATCTGTTAGCTCCATACCAGACATGTCTGAGCAGCAGTGCTGTTTCATGGCTTTAAGATGTCTTGAGAATGGTACAGCTGGGTTCACATGCTGCTATTTCAGCTTCTGGTATCTCTGCACTACACAGAGTCAGATTTGTGTTCTTTCTCTATTGCATACATAGAACCAGATCGGTAATGTGGTCCTGGCAACCCAGAGGAATAATCTGGAAGAAGCAGCAATAACTACCATCTCAGAATACTGAAATGCAAGGCTAATATGTTTTCCATGGCATTAAACATATTTTCCATGGCCTCAGATATCCCACTTGACATTGTCATAGAAAACTGTGGGCTGGTGGCTAGCTCCTTTCATTCCATTCATCTGCCTTACTGCTATCCTTATGTTCATTTTTATTAAAGACAGAAACTAATTATTTATAACATGCACGTATATTTATTACTTTTGTCTTTCTCTGCCAAGAGCTTACAGTAGTAACTAAAATTACAACATAACTCAGCACAGCTCAAAAAAGGGGATAATACATTTTGCCTCAGTCTTAGAAGTAGTAGAAGAGTAGGTAAACATTTAATTTAAAATTAGCAAGTGTTATGTATATTCAATCAATATCACTGAAGTGAAACTCTTACTAGAGATGCCTGCTGTCTAAATCAAGGGGCAGCTTTTACACAAGTCTAGAGGTATAAGATCAGTTTTAAAAGACGTTTGATTTCATATCCTCCCTCCGCTTAAAAAGACTTTTAAGCATGTTTGAACATCAGTTTTCAGAAGTTTGCAGAAACTTCTCAGAATTCTGACAGTCTGGGAAACCTTTTAGGCTACATCTTTGGTGTTGCCCCTTCTGAAACAGAGTGCAGCTGTGCTGAAGGAGGAGCTGTCTTTTAACCATTTGTGCACATTCTTGATACTAAAGCTGCTAAGCATGGACCTGACTCCAGAGAAACTGTGGGAGAATCTACTTAGTCATCTGTAATCATGCTGTGTGGAACAAAGCAATGTTCCAGCTCAGCTGAGGTTTTTATCAGCACATCCGTGTCAGAGACAAGGGAGAGCCGAGCACTGAACTGGTGCATTAGGAGCTGGTTAAGAATTACCTCTGTGGTGCAATGCGGTCCCAAGAATCCAGAATATTGCCTAAATGGTTTTTTAAAAACTGTGTTCTGATATTTGTGATCTAATTAAAAATACTCGCTCGCAATTCATATTTTCTCAACTAACATTTGCGAAATAAATCATCTTAATAACATCCAATATACAATTCTAAAATTGCTGACTAGCACTGAGGAGCTTCTTAGTTAAAACAGGGTTTTTCTTAGAGTTAATTAAGATTATTTCATTTATTGGCTTAACATTCACATTCATCTTATAGCAAAATACATAACTAGCTCAAAGTATATGCTGAAAATACATACCATCTTCCAGAAGTATTCTAGATCTTAAGCAATTTTCACAAGTTTCATACAATATTTGCATGACTGTTTAAACAAGGAGAGCCAATATATTCCAAGCTTTGCAATAATTTCTAGTTTTTCTCTCATTACTTTATTTATGGATACATTTTTGCAGACACATTCAAGGTTTTTTTCTTTGTTTTCCCTATCCCCTGGCCTCCCTCCAAAAAAAGACTAGCTTCTAAATGAGAAGGAATTTAATACAATGAACATTAAAAGACTTCCAAATAAATTTTAGTTTAAGGAGATCTTTATGCTTTAAAGATTTTTATCACAGGGATAATTTTTGCTATTTTTATATATGTATAGYATTTCACTTCAGAGGAGACAAAGTAAGAAACAAATTATTCTATAAGAATAACAAATTATGAAAAAACATTTCTAGTTAGACTTCTACAGGCCAATCTAAATGAGTTTATCAAAATTTTCCAAAACAARTTAAAGCATTTGAATCTTAAAATTGAGTTGCAGGTATAAAAA